TTCAACGGCAGTCGCGCGCCACGAGTGGGAGGCGTGTCTCGAGTGTACGATGAAAAGAGACCGAGATATACTATCGCGACGGAGAAGGGATGAAGAAAGTGCGAGGCAGAGGGGAGAATAGTTTTCATTGCGTTAGACAGAGACGGGTAAAAGGATGAGCGACCGCCGCGACCGGCCGTCGGAGACCATAGTCACACTGGTTGCAACTGTTAGAGGGAGTTGAACGGCGTGCAGAGGAGTGGAGTGGAGTGGAGTGAAGTGGAGTGGAGCAGAGCGGAGCGCGGCGAAATGGAGTGAAGAGAAAAGGAGAGAAATGGTTTCAGGAGAAACGGACGCGACGGGATTGAACGGAACGGAATGGAATGGAATGAGATACATACATACCTCGACTCGTGAAAACGGACGAATGACACAAAGAGCAAAAGAGAGTTACACAAATGCTGATTATCCAAAACTACCGTTTGCGACGCTACCGTTGCGATAGCGTAGGTATGCACAGACACCGATAGCTCTTCCTTTAACGATACCTATCGTGTGCTTCGTGTTTCTTCTTATGTTTCCGTTCCATTCCATCGAATCTTACAATCGACTTATCACGATTCGTACTAATGTTTCTTTCGTTTAATCAATTTCCGTTTCAATTTTTTCAATGCAACGCTTTTTGATTAGTTGCAACTGGAAACACGGAACCTCGATAAGCGATCTTGTGGATACATAAAAGTTACGTGATAAAAATCATCGTCATATTATATTTAATGGATGTTTATGCATTTATAAAAAATTTTTAAATGCAAAAATGCACAAAATGTAAGGAGGATATAAAAATAGTAAAATGTTCGAAATATGATACTGCTCGTGATATTTAATAAACGCAACAAATCTTTGAGTAGATTCTATATCTTTGCATTCACAAAAATATAAATTTATTCGTTCATTCGTTTACTGTTTGTACGATAAATATACTTCAGTGGTACAATTCTGTGCGCTTTCTATTCTCCCTTCTCTAATCTGTAATATTGTCACGTTTTTGGTCAATCACAAACTCGCGCGTAGTCTTGGCAAGAGACTACAAAATAAATACGTCGCTAGCTTATGAAGAGGTGATCAAATAGAAAATTCATAATCACGATCTTAACAAGAAAAGTTGTATAAAAAGCGACTGAAAAGTTACCAAGTTCCCGCGGCGCCGTCTCGTTTGTAATCCCAACTCTCCAACCCTTCCTCACCGCACTGCTCTCGAAGCCCACTCATAATTACCAAAGTTAATTTGCGAATCGCAATTTAATTGGCCAGTTCTTGAAGGTTCTTTAAACTTTGTCTTTCACGGAATAGGATTTTACGATGGTTCGGTTCAGTTCATTCCCGAAAACAACACAGTGGTTGCGTAAACGAACAAACCGATTTATATGATTGAAAGCAAATGCTATAAAACATAAGAAAAAAAATACTTTTTCATGAAAGAAAAGTTAGTTTCCAAGAAGAAAGGAAATTATTAAAAATTGGTTACCAGCCTGTAACAAAAAGAATAGGTTATACCGAACAACATAGATAGTTACAGCATAGATATAATAGTTCAAACAAATTACAAACAGCACAATACATATGTAGGCAAATATCGAAGCATCTCCAATCTATATATTGTGTATGCAATGGCATACTTTTGCGCATTAGTATACATATAATATACATACGTACATATGAGTGTAGATATACGTATGTCTCCTTTTATCTTCATTTCTGTAAGAAAGGGCAACAACGTTTCGAAAGAAGATACCTCCGACTCATTACCAAGCAACCACGAACGGATGTTCATAGATACGTATGCGAGACAGGGTTAAAGACAGGACAAAAGGGAAGAGAGATGTCGGCTTCCTGAGATTTTACCGTTAGCTGCTCTTGTTGAAACGAAAGAAAGAAAATTCTGCGTGACGGCGAGCCTTTTAATTAGGCTGTCTGTGATCTGCCAAGCATTTTTGCTTTCCTTATTCACCCTTCCCTATTCTTCCTCTTTCTTCTCCTTTCTCCTTTTCTTCATTCTTTTTCTCCTTCCTCAATTTTGTACTCGACTGATTGCGAGTCGATCACACTTCGCGCACCCACTCCTTAGATATGCCACATTTTCAAATATCAATTTCTCATTTAGTTCTTCTTTCTTAAGAAAGAAACAGAAGAAGGATGAAATATAATTCGTTATGTCTCTAATCTTACAATTAGAACATACATAGTATACAACGTAAACGAAAATATCCAACCTAACCACGATAAACAAATCGAACTGCGTTCTCGATAAAGAATACATAATTCTATCGAAACAATACTTGAGAACGTAAAAATAAATTATTTATGTATATAATATAACGTAAATTATATTAATGTATAGATATGTAGATGTAAATACAAATGAAATAACTTTAAATCGTCGCAATCGCGATATACGATCGACGCAACGAAATATGTAATATCTTTTTCTTTAATGATCGAGATATATTAATGATCAATGCACGATATATGATCTGGGTCTCCTTTCTTCTTTGAAAGAAGAGGAAACGGACAATGCAATACCTGTGACTGATACGCGACGGCATGTAATGACATCGAAAATATACTAGTAATTCAAGCGTTTCGTTTATAATCTAAGGAACGTGCTCCCTTTCATTGAGGCCGTGTGGAAATGTGAAATAGGGAAGAGGATTGAGAAAGAGGAAAAGGAAGAGGAGGAGGAGGAATCGGTGTTCATCGACGGGAATTCAAAACGTGCAAAAGAGCGAACGCGTGAGCACGTTTGTAGAGAGTGGTACGAAAGTGATACACATACACACCTATCCGCGATCTCAATAGGCGTCGGGCCAGGAGAATAAATTAACGAGGTGTTTGTCCGCTATCACCACTCTTTTTCCAAGCCGGATTAAAATCACTCTGTCTTTAATAATTATACCGACCGAATACGTTAAATGAGGCGCGCGTCGCGACGTATTTACCACTGTTGCTTTTTGATAATGTTATTTACAGCTGTGATTTACAATAGATCGCCACTGAACCTCGCAATCCACGCGAATTACTTCCTCCCTACATTGTATATACCGTTAAGAAATAAAAGAGATGTAAAATGCGACGTGTGGTAGTAAATTTTATTCGTTACGTTGAAAGAGAAGATGCGTTCACTGAATACGTATAAAGCATAAAAGCAAAACACTGGATATTGCTTTTCGGACCATTATCGGATACTATATCACTACGATCTCGCACTATGTGATAATTGTAAGACTACTATGCGCATATCATATTCGAAATATCAATTAATATTTAAAGGTTAAAAAATACACGTTTTGAAGGGTTGATTAACATTGCTAACATTTAATTAAATTATGTACATTAGGATAATAAAATCTGTTGCAATAAATATTTTTATGATACATGCAAGATTATGAAAAAACATTATTGTTGAAGGTCAGTATTTCTCTTCAAAATAAGAATTATATATCTTTTACGATTATGATACAAGGGAATTTATTTTCTTATTTTTCGACAAGTGTATCGAGTGAAAAGATTGTTAGGAAACATTCACATCATTCACTTCCCAGAAGTAATTTTCTCTAAAACCACTTATCCAAAGAAATGAATATTCATAAAAGGTCGATGAAATCGTGTCATTCGAAATCCTCGGCATTTGATCAAGGTTAAATTGAGATGCAAGATAATTTGAAAATCACAAGAAATTTGGCAGACAGTCAGGACCATGTTGTTGATTCTCATAGTTACTAAAGTATCAATTGTAGATAATGGAGGTTATCAAAGACGCCTCTGTCGCTCAAAATCATAATTAAATAAACATATTTGTCTAGCCTTATATTTGTATCAAATAAATATTCCTGCATTCCATTTATGACGATATATTCAACGTAATAATATTTGTGTAAAGAAAACAAATGTTGAATTTCAGCAAATATATGTTTTTCAAACTAAACAATTTCAAAATTGAGACAACTGCCAAAATGATCTATAACAAGACAAGAGCTCTAATCGCATAAACATATTAGAGTAAAAGCTTAAAATCTTTTTCCTTTATAAATTACAGATTCATTGCACTCTCAAATAGCTCCAACATCCTTTTCATCTCTTTACTAAAAGTTGAGAAAACGAATAAATGTTAGTATGATTACAGAACTGGAATACACAATACAAATGTAAAAACAGATACTCTAATACTCGCATTTGTTCTGCTAGCTTATATACAGGTCCCATTGATTTCGATAATTCTTCGCATTTTGCCATTAACTGATACATCGATTTAATATTGTGATCCACTGCATCGCACGTTTTACAAACAGCATCCCTATATGTTTCTAAACAGCCTACGGTGAGTGCAGATGCCTAAAAGTAACTTTGATGCAAAACCCTTTGAAAACTTAATGAGAGGAAAAATTTTCACAAAGCACAAAAGAAGAAATATAATTGGAAAAGATAATTTACACTATGCAAAATGGCTGCCAAATTTTCTGTTAATGCATCAACAGAGGTGGCCACTTTTCTCGCTTCCATCTCTAATTCATTTAACACATTATGATCAAGAAGAGGCACCTGAGGCGTTAAGGCTTGCCTGTACAAACAAGGAGTAGAACTGCGAGAACCCGGAAAAGATGGAGTTTCTCCCTTTTTTGTTACAGGACTTGACAGTTTAATTTTGTTTTCTAAATCTTCCGCAACAAACAGTACCATATCACCATCTTGCATTACTGTCCCCTCAAGTTGCAAATATCCCATGGCTTTGTGATAACTTGGGGGATCTATATCGTCGTCCTCTATTGGACTAGATTCTCTATTCCTTAAATTTAGCTGGTCTGGTCTACCACCAATTCCGTTCATTTTCTCTAGGCTACCATCTAAAAATTTTGTTCCATCAATATCTGGTGAATCGATCAGCGATCTTAACTCCGAAACGGGTGGAGATGATTGTGAATCGAATGATATTTCCGAATATGACGCTGTCATCTCATGTAGCTGAAATAATTATAGTTAATGTCCCTAGTATTGCCCTTTTCGATCAATCACATTTTGCAATGTAAATAACAGTTTTTTTACACAGGATTCATTAACTCTAACCTTACTCTGTCTTCATCGTAGTCGATAGCTGCATTCTTTTCACTACGTATTGTTGTTCCTTGTTTCGGATATGTTTCCCCTTCCTCTGATTCCATATTTAAAAAACAATTTATTTTTCCAGTCCTTTATAATAAAACAAACGTCCCTTTTATTTGACGTACGTCACAATTGATATAATGGAATAATACTGTCACAATTATCGATCCTTAAGGGACGTTTCTACTAAAACGATAGTTCTTCTAAAACAAATTTCTCTTAAAATTTAAGAAATAAATTTAAATAAAGAAATAATTACACAACTGTTTCAAAAACGTTTCATTAGAGTTACGGTATATTATCTCAATCCTCTATAATAATGAAAACTCGCCTTTAAACGAAAAATTATATTCATTGATATCATATTGATATAAAGATGAATTTTCAGGTTAGTTAATTCATAGCTATATGCTGTCTGTTGTCATTTGTAAGTGTTGAACAACCAATATTTGACTGAAACCGATTAACCGATTAGTTGACTGAAAATTAAGAAAGATTTAATAGCATTTGATATAATGTACCATAATATGTCATCTCATGTTTATATCATTTCCACATTTACCCATAAGTGAATTAAATATGATTTACTCAGCGTACTAAAAGGCAGATATTGTTTATTGATCTAAATCTTTATTTTTCTCTGTTATAACAGATATAAAATGTGTGAAAATTATTTTATAGTTAAAGCAAGATTAAATTGAACTTTATCAAAATCATTTGATGACGATGCATTTTAGAATACCATTATTTTTTATCCTTGTCACCCTTATGAAATGCGTGTTTCCACAAAATGATTTCTTTGATGAAGAACTAATGCTAAAACCATTACCAAGCAATCATGTCTATGCATATTTTCAATTTACTACTGTATGGGAAACCACAAAAGACATAACAACATGTAAGTTACAAGACATAAATTACCAAATATAAAATTCTTTTTTATGCAAGTAGAAGTTAATATTTCAGTTCAACATTCTCATTTATTTCCAAGAGGACTTGGTGAAATTATAAGTCGTCACAATGTAAATGAATTACATCTTACATTAACCAAGGGATTGTGGAATTACCAAAAATGGGGATATCCTTATCATGATGCTGGTCCTGGTGCTGAAATATATTCATGGTTCCACGAAGATGTTAATAAGTAGAGTATCACTTTGAACTCAATAAACACAATGTATTACTCTAAAAATTGTATGAATGATATTAATAACAAAATTATTTTTTATTGTTATAGTGTTGATGATGAGTGGAAAGGTTTAACAAATGCACTAGCTGGCTTATTTTGTGCTTCCTTGAATTTTATTAATCCTGCAAACAGTATGTCTCCAGAATTTACATTCCGTCCTACAGGGGTAGTAGATCACAGTATCAATTCTAGTCATTTACGCTATTCATCATTACCAAAAGAAATAGTTTGCACTGAAAATTTAACACCATTTAAAAAATTATTGCCATGTAATTCTAAGGTATATGTGAAAAATAGAGACTTGTATTTATTTTGTGTAACAGATACTGATATATATGATGTTTTAATAGAAAGGCTTGGCAACCTTATTAAACTCTGCTTATATTCACAACACAAACTATCATTCCATTGGAGTACATTTTCGAGTTATATGCTCAAACACAATCTGCACTAAAACATCATTAGAGTTACGTCAGTCTGTTTCATTGATATATGACACAATAACCGATGTATCACAGGTAAATTTTTAACAAAATTTTGTATGTTATAAGAAATTTCTGGCACTCATATGAATTTTCCTTCAGAATTGGTCAGTTCGAAAATTTTTTGGAATGGGTATTAGAGGAGCATGCCCTCTTGCTACATTAAGCAATGTATATATTGACATATCTAATAATAATACTAATCAAGTTTATGAGTTAATACCTCCTCCAAGTGCGAAGGTCGTTAGTCTTCGAGGAGGACAATTAAATGAAATAGCTGTTTATGACATTAGGTCGCTTTCTTTAAAAGGAATATTTAATATTGAAGTTCTATATAATACTACTTGTACAGCTGGTTTAAATTATCCTTCAATTCTATATGCAAATAGATATGTCATTGGTTTGTAATACTACTTAAATTATAATAGATACATATGTGGGGAGAAATAGCAAAATAAAAATTCTTTTCTGCAGGATATGGACAAGAAAGAGGTAGTTTAGTAACAAAAATTTACAATAATTACTGGCAAACACTCGATATTATTTTATTAGAAAGTATTCCATGGTATTTGCCAGTATATTTACATTCTGTCAAAATAACTTGTGGGGCAAAAAATATTATACCATGTGAGTAGTTGTATTCACATATATCATATATCATTGTATTCATCATAGGCAGTGATATATTCATTGTAATTATTTGTATCTTTTTTGTTTCTGTGATCTTTTCTTTGTTGTCTTAATCTGTTGAAATTTTGTATATAGTGACACAGCGTTATCTACCAGGCAAGGAACGAAAAAGTCCTTACTATTTGGAACTTATTTTACGTTTACCACCACAATCAGTAACTAAATTTTCTATAGAAATGGATTATTCATTTCTTAAGTGGCAAGAATACCCGCCAGATGCAAATCATGGGTTTTACATGGGTCCTGCTATAATCACTGCATTACTTCCAATTGCAAGAAATTATACTGCGTTACCACTCGATGGAAGTACCATAACATCAAGGTTAAAAATGTCTACATTAGTAATTAATATTACAACATATGTATAATATTTAACACTCAAGTTTTGCTAAAGCATAATTAAATTTTCAGTTTCAATGCTTCAAGAGAAGGCTATCTAGTACAGCTAAGAACTGAATCTTTACTAGTTAGTTTACCGACGCCTGATTTTAGTATGCCCTACAACGTAATTTGTTTAGCCTGTACAGCAATTGCCCTAGCATTTGGTCCACTTCATAACATTTCAACTAAAAGATTAGTTTTGAAACGTGTTGAAATGGATTGGAAGGAAAAATTATTATCGTCTTTAATGAAAAAGATCGTTAAATCAAAAAAGAAAGAAGAATGAAAAGTGTAATTTATTATTTGGTTTTAAATATATATGCATATTTAAATAAGACAAAAATTTTTGTTAAAATATAAATGGAAACAAAATACAAATACAATTATCTTGCAATGAGGTACATTAACGAAGTTCATCATAAAGAAAATTAACAATTCATCTCGATTTTATTTATCTTTTCCTTAACTTCTCTTTCTCTATAGTATATAATATATAAAAATGCGTAGGCTTATCTTTTATTATATGACAAATATTATTTGACATTTCCCTTTAATGAAAATACCGAGTTTGTTATTTTACAGTTGAGAGTTTCTTGTAATGATTGACAGTCTACTGCAAATAATAAAACATTATGATGTAACATTATTTTACGCATTTTAAAATCATATAAAAGTGAAATAATAAATATTGTAATAAATGTAACACGCATACAATGAATACTATATACTAAATAATCATTATTTTATGGTGCTGGTCTAAGGATTGGGGATAAATTTGTAAATGTATTTAACATTGTACTATGGTACTTGTCTGTATAATTTTCAACATCGTTATTTAAAATATTATCCGATAGCCACTCGCATTTTCCATGTTCTAACTGAAATTTAGTTGAAGAAAATTTTTCTAAGAATGATTCTGTTACACCTTTGACATCATGAGATAAACAACTCATTGAATCTTTATTTTCGTTCGAAGATGCAGGAGTACATGTATTTTCTTCCTCATCCGAAGAGCATAGATCGATTACTGCAATCGCTTCCGACGGTCTTATACACGATGCGATCTCTTTAATTGAATGAATGGTAGTCGTATTATTTTCGCCAGAAGAACATTTACCTCCAAAATCAATTAATTCTACATTGATAATTTCATTGCCAACTACCTTTTCTACGTTTTCTTTCATCGTGTTTATGTCACTTTCATCACTTGGAGCTTTACGTTTTGAAGGAACGTTTGGTCCTGTTTTTCCTTCATTATGAGTTATCATTTTCTTGTTTACAATAGAAACATTTTGAATAAGACATTGATATTTTGGCTGATTTTGTTTAAAATCATGTATTTGTTCCTGGGTCAATCGATTTAGAATAACAAAAACAGGTCGACAGACAACATACAGTAACTGTGATTGTATGCTCAACACTAAAAAGGAAAAGAACAGTTCTTACATATATCATAGAAAACATATTATAATAACATTTAAAAAACGTAGAAATAAGGGAAACGAAACCCTATGAAACTCCCCCAAAGATTAAGCACTTACTTGGTTTCTTTTTAACAGAATTTACAAATTTATATTGGTGCACATAATCGCATGCCAGTTTATCTCGATTTGGTTTATATGTAACACTCCATTTATCGTTATCAACGTCCGCTTCCAACCACTTTGGTTTAGACGAGCTGTTTAAGACAGGAGCAATGAGATGTCTTTCTATCCTTTCTAGCCTTTCTTGTTGCGTTTCTTCTGTCATTGCCTTGGATCTTTTAGCTAATAATATACCAGCAGGAGAAGAAAAAGGAATAGTCGGACATCTTGTAAAATTTACAAACCCTCTAACACGGCGGGAGGTTCGGCTAATGATATTATTGTTATTATTAACTGTAGCATCATTGTGAATTTCAACTGATTTCGATTCCGATTTCGCTTCTGATTCCGATTTCACCGAACACAAGTGAAAATATTCCAAGAACTGGTTTTGCCTTAATTCAGGCTCTACAATCGACAAGTCCGGAGTTGTAGATCGAGAATTGCTTCCGTTATGTTCTTGTTCATAACATACACTTTCATGTTCCTTTAATATACAAAATTGCTATTAATTTCATTTATGTTTTTTATTAGAATTCATATAAACACACACATTTGATGTGTGTACCTTCATTTTCTCTAGGCCTATAAATTCCGCATCACAATTATCACATAGATAAATATCTCCTGTTGGTGTATGATTCATCATAACGGAATGCTGTTGCTGTTTCGTATAGGAAGAAATTACTCCTCTACAAGATAACAACTTCTTTCGTGGACTTTCACAAGTTCTATCATAATTCTGTAATTAAAATAAAATTTCTTTATTTATTTTTTATAAAGTTTTTAGTATTCTACAAAGCAAAGTAAGATGTGAATACAAGAACAAACCATATTTTCATTGCGAAATGTCACTAATAGCTTGCCAGTA